TTATGAGTGGGACATGTCAGAAGAGTACTAAGAACGAGATCTAGGCTAGGTTCCGCAAAGTTTCGGCTTTCACAAAATGCGATCTTGAAAAAAAAATAAAAAAATTGCGAAATGGTGTAAAGGTGCGATTTTCAGAAAAGAACAAAATCCAGTTTCTGAGAATATGGCAATCTCCGGATATGCCTAACGCAATATTGGTAGGCTTCGCAAGATTTTGGTTTTCAAAAAAGATTTGCGAGCTAGAATGGAAATTCGATTTTCTGAAAAGAATAATTCCGGTTCCGAGAATATGACCACTTCTATCGTTATCCCAATATGCCTGGAAAACGAAATACTAACATCAGAAATTTTCAGCTATGTATGCGAAATATCATAGAAACGACATGTTACTATCGGGAATTTTCGGACAAAACGAAATGCGATTTATCAGAAATTTTCAGATATTTGTTACGTAAAAACGAAATACCAATATCAGAAATTTTCGGTAAAACGAAATGCGAATATCAGAAATTTCATATAGTTGTTGCGAGAAAAAAAAAAAAATTCAGAGATTTGACGAAGTTCTTCTTGATTTACTGATGAGTAATCAATAGATCAAGCAAGCTGGCTACTTGATTGAGCGGTTCCTCTGAAAGAGAGGTCCGCTCTAATACCAAACTGTTGCATACTGTAACGGTGCAGACCAGAACAAGAACCGACCTCTCAATGCAAAGTACAAGATAGCGTAGCGGAGGACTTAGATACCAATGATCCGAACAATCAATATTGCAATGCAGCCCTGAACATACATCATCATCATCGTTTCATGGTGTGAAAGGGGTCTGGCGCTTCACACATGAAGATTGCGCCAGCCCCAACCATACACTGACGAAGAAGAAGGGGGCTAGACGAAGAGGAGGGGAAGATGGGAATGTCGTCAACACCAAGTCTTCGGCACAGGCCCAAATAGTCCCTCGTCAAAATGTCTGAATTCCAAATGTCGAGTCTGGATCCAATGTCGTCAAGTCCCAAGTCACAACTCTCTCTCTCTGTAGTAGTCCGCTGATACTGAGAAGTCAGGTGGTGAGAGAGGAAGAAGAGATGGTGGACATAGAAGAGGAAGAAGAAGAACTCTCTCTCTCTCTCTCTCTCTCTCTCTCTCTCTCTCTCTCTCTCT